CTTTCTTAAAACCTCTCAAAGGCTCACAAAACCCAAAGAAGCAGCAGCTGGCCTCAGTGTGCCCTGCACCTCTTATTGCCCCAAGTTCTGCACCAGCAGAAGCTGGCCTCGGTTCTGGGCTTGGCCTCTCAAGGCACCTATAAGCCCAACATGAGTGGCAGCCATCTGCGGATTGCGTGGCGACTCTTACTAAGTGGCCCCAGAAATGCACAGGCTGCAGCTGAACTTGTCCTCCAGCTGGACCCCTCCCAGGAAGCCTCTGGGTGGGCACATCCAGTTTTCTGCTTGGACCAGAGCCACAGCACCACCCAGGGTAGTATCTGAGGAGGACACACCCAAAGGGCAGACTGGGCATGTACCAGAGCTCTCCTAAAGTGAATCCTGTTCTGTAGGGTCAGCCCTTCACCAGTCAATCCTCACAACTAATCAGCCCAAAGGTCAATCCCTCCCATCAATATGCAAACAATAACCAAGGCTCAACTATAACAGGAGGGCACCCACAACCCACACAAGGGACACACCTCAAGCACTTTGCTCAGATGACCAGGGAAGATTGTGCCACTGGGCCTTACAGACTACCTACTTCATAAAGCCACTCTACTGAGACTGGGAGACTTAGGAGTCTTATCTAACACATAGAAACAGTTACAAGGAGGCAGCCAAAATGGGGAGACTAAGAAACATGTCCCACATGTAAGAATACCAGGATTCTCCGGGTCAAGCTAGATAGGAGAGGGAAGGACCGTGACACAGGAAACATGTCAAAGGCATTAAGACCCGGGTTTCTATAGTATATGCTGTTTTTGAGTTACCTAGTGCTTTAGGGGCTTCATATTTGTTACAGAAAAAGAGAAGAGAATCTCCCCACCCCTCAATAGTGCTAACATAGAAACATATTTCTGCCAAAAATGGAATTATTTTATTATTATACTTATTTTACCTGTAAATCTGGCATATACCATTATTCCTTACTAAATGAAATAGGCAAAATACCAAAATACTGTTTAAAAACATATTAATTAATGAGTGATTATCTCTAGGGAGAGGCCTTGGTTGGAGCTGGGAGAGGGCAAGGCTAGGGCAAAAGGGTAGGAAAGATATTTATTTATTATTTATTTATTTATTTTAAATATTTGTTTTCTTTTCTATTTATTTTTTTATGATGACATTGGTTAACAAAATCCAATAAGTTTCAGCTGTACACTTTAACAATAAGGCATATATATATTTACACTGTATGTTCACTTCCCATAGTTAGATTTATTTCTGTTACCACATATTTGACAAAAAATATTTTTCACTTGATATTCTTTTGTGTCAATTTTACTTTGTATAATGTGTATGCATGACCTATTCAGATATATATGCATTGATTATTAAAAAATGTGGAAACAGACTTATGCATATATAGAAACTTGATTTATGACAAAGTTGACACTGCAGGGCAATAAGGAAATGCTAGTCTTTCCAATGAAAGATACTGCTTCTACATGGGGAAAAATGAAACTCTACCTCACATTCACAAAAATCAATTCTGAATGAGCTGTGGATCTTAATGTAAAAAGTAAAAGCGATAAGTTTATAAACAACAATATAGAATGCTTTAAGCATTAAGCATACAGAAAAAGATTGGTAAGTTGGCCTACATTGAAATGAAAAAGTACAGTATATCAGAAGACACTTATAAGACTAAAGAAGCAAGCCACAGTGGGAGAAGATATTAAAACATATTTAACTGACAAAAGACTTGTAGCAGAATTTAAGAACTTTAAATCAACAAGAAAAAGACAATCCAACAGAAAAATGGGTATATCATCAAGGAGGCTATCCAAATATTCAATTAACATTTGGAAAAGTGTTTTCTTACTAATTTAATTTACAAAATGAGACTGCAAAGCAAACCACCACCACACACCCTGCAAAAGAACTTAAATGTAAAAGACTGACAATCCAAGTGCAGACAAGTTATGTGGAACAATATAAACTCTCATATGCTACTGCTAGAGTGTACATTGGTACAAGTATTTTAGAAATCTACTTGGTATTATTTACAAAGTTTAATATAATACTATGTACCGGTAGTTCTAGGTAAATAACCATCAGAAATGTGTAGGCATATGAAAAGTACATGTAGAAGATTGTATATAGCAACATTACTTATAATAGCCCCCAACTGGTAACAACTCAAATGTACGACAGATTTAAAACTGTTAGTATGTTCATACAATGGACTGCTTTGTAATGATGAAAAACAAATTACTGCTATATGTAACAGAATGGTTGAATCTCACAAATATGTTGAACGAAGATGGAAGATGCCAGACACAAGAAATGCTACAGTATGATTCTATTCATATGAAGTTCAAAAAAAAGCAAACTTGGTTCCTCTGAGGAATTGGGAGGGGTTGGGGCTGGGGTGATATAGGAACTCCTGGGTTGCTAGTTATGTTCTATTTCTTTGACCTAGGTAGTGGTTATACATGTTCAGTATGTGATAATTTAATAACTTAAGATTTGTGCACTTTCTTGTATATATGCTGTATTTCAATTAAAGTTTAAAAGATGCAGTTGAATAAAAAAAACAAGGATGCAGATTTAACAGTTAAGGAAAAACAATAATCATTGCTTTGTGAAGCAAAATATCAGACACTGTACAATGCTCCTCAGAACGTGCTTTCTTCCTTGGAGGTGGCCAATAATCTTTCCTCAAGCTCCCTAAAGATAGGGACATTCGTGCTTATATTTATCTACATATAGCACAAGGCACCCAGAATGGTTTGCAATAGCCTGATACATGTAGAATGACTGGAAATTTGACTTTTAGTCAGTTGGTCCTAGAAATGGAAAGGAAAACAGCAAGTAGAGTTAGGAGCCAGTTGAGGCACAAGCAAACTTTCTTAGCAATGTTATTGAGGTTCTCAATCTAGACCAGGCCAAAAATTTATTACTATCAACTCTAAATAAACCTTTTATTTTTACCTTATATACTGTTAAACTACTATTAAAATTCATACATAACTCCACAAGTATATTAATGTAATATGGATTATTAGAAATGTTGGCTGGATATACTTACTAATTGGAAAACAGATTTGATATCTCTTCTGGACTTCTCAAGTTAGCTTTTGTTGTATTATAAAATCTTTGGTGTTATGTTACATTAGATTGACTTTTCTTCACCACAATTTTGATTAGGTGGTATTATTATGAGGGAAAAAATGGTGTAAAGGTGTGTGACACATGTTTATCTTTTACTATATATTTACATATAGATGTACATACATGTGCTTGGGTAAAGGGTGGGTAGGTAGTGATGGTGGACACGTGGTTCAAGGAAAGGACAGATGTCTTGAGTGGCATATAGCTTGGTGGGAAGGGAAACTGGCAGAGAATTGAAAATTCTATTATAGCACACAAAAATGTTCTTATAGTCACATAATCATTCCACAAATATTTATTGAATTCCTTATATTTGCAAAATATTGTTCTAGCTACTGAGAATACAATAATGAACAAATCAGATGTGATCCCTGCTCTCATGGAGCTTACATTCTAATGTGCGGAACGAACATTAAGCAAACTACATAATTATTTCATGACAACTGTGATGAGTGCTACTGAATTATATGTGCTATATGACATAGATGAAGAATGAGAGGATATAATTAGGGGATCAAAGGGGAAGGATGTTTGAGCTGGTTTTTACATAAAAAGACTTAAGTAATGATGATGGGGAACGGGAGTGGCATAATTCCAGGGTATTGCATGAAACAACGAAAAGGTCAGCGGGACTGGTGCACAGTGAGCAACAACAGTGGCCTTGGATAGAACAGGTGTGGTAGGTGAGGACAAAAAGCACGCAGGTACTTACAGATTGTGTTAATAATTTTGTTCTTTATCCTAGTGATTGCAAGATGACATTAAAGGGTCTTAAGCAACCACCACAATGTTTAAACAGGTTGGTACTGCAGAGTTTTGGTCTGGTAATCAGATCTAGAGCAAGGAAATTATCAGTCTCCTGGAATGGCTTCCTTACTCAGAAATTGTGAGTTTGGACTAGATGCACACTCAGGTTTTCTTCAGCTCTAAAGTTCTATGAATATTTTTATATATTCAAAGCCAAAATGTTAGTTACAGGTCACCTAAAACTTAAAAAAAATTTTTTTTTATTACAGTTGACATATTAGTTCCAGGTGTACAACATAGTGACTAGACATTTATATAACTTATGAAGTGATCACTCAGATAAGTCTAGTACCCATCTGACATACGGGGCACTTTTTGGTGTTCTCATTTGTAGAAATGAATACTTTTTAAATCCAATTAAGTGTCATAACCTAATCTATGTAACAGTGATAGAGCTGACCTTTCATTATCTCAAAGAAGGCTAGGAAATCTTTAAGATGGGAAGTGGGAAAGAAAAAGTAGTGACCAGATGCAAAATAAGTGTAATCAATACTTATAAGGATAAAGAAAGTAGGCAGATGAAAGCAAGAAGGGTTAAATTCATCTTACTAGGATCGTTTAATTTAAAGGTAGCTAGTAACAGTCAAAAGAGTTTAGGAGTGGGAAGGGATTAACAGCAGGCACCATCTTCAACAGTAGCTCTCCAACCCCCTCCCCCCACCATTTGACATATATCATTGACATTTCCTCAAGCTTGTGTAGTATGTTATGCAAAAAGTTTAAAGCACCCAATTCCTTGACATATGTTCAAATAAAACTTCCTATTTAAAAATTCTGACACGGAAGTGCCGGCGACTTTACAACCTGAAGGACAACAGTGAGAGCTTGTTTGCGTTTTCGGGGGAGGAGTACATAGGTGTTAATGCTAAATAGGATCTTGGAAATCCTTTAAAGTACACACCTAATTTTACAGGTAAGACACAAGGAAAACCTTCGAGGTGAGGTGACTTTCCCAAAGAGACACTAAGTGGAGAACCCAGCCACAGTCCGAAGGTCCTTCACCACCCTCGGTGGGCTCCTGGGTGTCCTTTTACCTGTGAAGCCGCAGCCATCTTCCTGGCTCGGAGGAGTGCATAGGACTCCGGACGCGGGACGGCCTCTGAATGCCTGACTGCCTGCGGCTTCCCTCGCTTTTCAGGGTCGCCCGCTTGGTCTCCCTCCTCTTCCGTCGTAGGTGCTGGGGAACACATACGATGCAGGGTGGGCACGGCGCCTGCCACGAGACTCAGGCGCTGGGAGAAGCGCAGGTTCTTCGGAATCACCGAAGAGACGTCAAAACAGGCCGGAGCGAAGTGGTCAGAGTAGATGACCGAGCGGTCATTGCCCCCGTACCAGTCGGCGCGGCGACCCCGCACGAAGCGGTCCCACAGCAGCCGCACGGTCTGGTCCTTGGGGAAGCGGAACAGAGACTTCCTGGACTTGGTGGTGTTGCCGCAGTGGGCGGCCACGCAGCAGGCCGGCATAGTGGTGGCCTTTGGAGCCGGGGAGCAGGATCTTCTGTCTTGCGCGCGGCAGTCGACGCCGCCTCGGGCCCGTTTCCTCCCTCTACCTCCGGCCACCGGAAGTGCGGAACTGAGGCCCTAAATGTGAGGGTTCCCAGCTCTAGGATGTCTTCCTCCTCTACTCCGCAGCCCTCCCTCAAGAGCAGTTGGCTACAGGCAGATACAAATTTCGCGCGGGCAGAGCTGAGGTGGGCCGTAAAGAGGCACGGACCGGAAGTGGTGGTTGTCATAGCTACTGAAGTGGCCAGCCTCTTTCCAGTCTCATTCTCCCTCTTCTTCCACTGTTTTTATGAGGCCAGGAAAATCGAACGAGGAAGGGCTGACATACTGGGCCCCCACAAACATAACCAGATGCTTTAATGACTGTGTCGGCCCGGAGATTTGGGAGAGGACCAGACCGGAAATGATTGTTTCCATAGTAACCCCTGAGCGGGTTGCCTGGGAGATGACCCCTTTCGGTCTCTCTGAATCTTTGCTGTATCGTCACTTCTAAGGCCGATCTAACAGATCCTGGACTGTCTCCTGCCATGATTCCCGGAAAATACCGCTCTGTTTCTGGCCGGGCTACGAACAACGTAGGTTGAGTCTCCTACTTTCCCTTTCTTTCCATTCGTATTGTCCTTTTCGTCTGGCGTCTTTGTCTTAGGTGATGTATTATTGAGACCATGACCTATGAATCTACTTAAGGTATTGTGTGACTGAGGCTTGAGATTTATAGACTGGACTAAGGCATTTGGAGGATTTTAATATTGTATGGTGGTTGCTCAAAATTCTTGTCCCAGATCTGGGCTTCCCAGAAGGTGGAGCTGGTCTGCTGTGAAAGGCTAAGATTCGTCTAAATTCCTTTAACAAGTTTCTTTTTTTTTTTTTGATTAAGAAAATAATTTACTAATAACAGCTTCTCTGACCTCCTTCACCTGCTCCTTTGAGATGTTTACTTAGGCCTGAAATGGCAAGTGTCAAAATCCTTAGATGCTAAGTAGAGGGCTAAATTGCTGCAGACATTTTGGAAAATAAATCACAGTGAAACCTTTTAATTCTTAGTTGTGATTTTATTTTTTCCAACAAATCAGTAGAACATGATCATATACCAGAAACAAAAAGCAAGCATTCTGTTTTATTATTCTATTTTTTTTGTGGGAGGATTTTATCTTTATCTGTACTATTTTGGGGAGGTGTGTTCGTTAAGAACATATTTTATGTTTTAATTTTTACATTGCAGGTGAACTGTGGGCTTCATCTGGTTATTCAAACATCATCCCTTCCTGAAAAAAACAAAGTAAGAAATAATAGCATGATTTAAAGAGTAGAGTATAACTGGAAATTTTAACTATATTTATTTTGGTCTCCAATCTAAACCTAATTTTTATTTTCTGCCTACATAAAGCCAAAAATCCTTTGTAAAAAACTGAATCTTATTTCACCAGTTGGAAAAGGTAAGGGTTTTTTTTTTCTTGACATTTGAACATTTCTTAAATCAGAATCCTTCTTAAAATTGATGGCATATTATAGCTCGATTGGGAAAGAATTTTCTTTCTTAGTAATGGATAAAATGATGGTATATATTACTACTAATGGAATCTTACAATAGGTAAAATGTGATAATTTAGGGGGACATATCTATACATTCCATTTAAAATCAGGGGAGAAAAATAGATTAGCAGTGGAAGTATATTAGGTTTAATGCTATTTAAACTTAAGATTATGAACATGATTCTTTTTTCCCAAACAGTTTACACATATAATATCTCTGATATTTCCATAATTTCTGGCTTTTGGTTTGATTTTTGACATTTGTGTGTTTTTCTTTCGCTCCTTTCTCATCTTAGCACTCACTAACTCACCTTCCACACCATTGTGTCTCAAGATACAATATAATTTTTCTACTGTGACCATGTTGTACACCTCCAACTATCACAATTCAGTTTTTTTTTTCTAAAGAAAGTCAAAGAGGCAGCAGTTGATTACGTTATATACATGAAAATAAATACTTGACAACTAGACCATTTGATCATCTTGGATAAATAACAGTTAGCTAGATTAATTGAAAATATTCCCTATTATAATTGGACATAATGTATTCCCTCCAAAGTTTTGCTAATTGATTTCACTGGATAAATCCTATTCTACCAGAGTGTTTCTAGGAATGATGTGCTTTATCCAAATTCTTTTCAAACAATTCATTTTCTCTTGTAGACATATGTTTTAAGAAAATACCATTAGCTTACATAATTCATAAGGAGATAAAGCAAATGCTATTTCAAAATGCATATTTAGGGGTTTTTGTGGTTAATCATGACAGATTGTTTGATTTGTAAAAATTCTCCTATCAACTAATTTAAAACCAATTTAGAGAAATCTCTTCTTAGAAGCTTTAGATATAAAATTTTACTATTTTGTTATGTTATAATTGGACTCTTAAAGGAATTCTAATAATAAAAATTGATTTTTTTCAACAGAATTTAGTTTTTATTGTATGTTTTTTGCTTTTATTTTTGAGACAGTGATTCTTTTAATGATTGTAATTGTGGTGAGGGTTTGAAGGAGTTAGAAGTGCCTCAGACTGAAGCATAGTTTCATCTGACCTTTTGAAACTGACTGTGTGTGTATGTGTGTGTGGTAAAATACACATGACAAAATTTACCGTTTTAATTATTTTAAGTTATACAAATCAGTGGCATTAAATACATTCACAGTGTTGTATAGCTGTCAGCACTATCTAGTTCCAGAACTTTTTATCACCCAAAAGGGAGCCCCTATACCCATTAAGCAGTCACTCCCCATGTTCCCTATCCCACCCCAATGAAGCCACAAATTTACTTTCTCTCTCCATAGATTTTCTTACTCTCAATATATCATAAATGGAATCATACAGTATGTGACATTTTGTGTCTGGCTTCTTTCTTTCAGCATGGTGTTTTTTTCAAGGTTTATCTGTGTATTGATCAATTATTGCATGTTGTTTTATAACTATCTTTATTATTTATTGTTAAATTCTTATCCAAATTTTTTTTTCTCAAATAATGTTTTTTTTTTTTTAGGTTGAATTCAGGCTAAATAAAGAAACACCATCATTTCCTGGTCGACTCTTACAACATGACCTTGAAAGAAACTATTCAAGTAGGCAAGGTATTGTCAGTGAGTAGAGATCATATATGGTTTATCTTCACTGGGTAATATTGTTTAATAATATTGATTTTCTAGATCCAAATATACTTTAATTAAAAGTGAAATGGTTAATTGGTACCAAATTGTCTCGGTATTTGTTTAAATCAGAATTGATTTTACATACACAGCATAGTAGATGCTTTCTAATACAGAAAAAAAATGTTGTATTTAGTTTGAGGATGGGCTATGTACAAGAAAATGGGAAAGAATCTTTCAAATACTGTATAAGAACTTGGAAAAATGGCTAATTAGGGAACACAGATCTTTAGGAAACAGGGAAACAGGGAAGAGTGGAAAGTTAGGAGTGGAAAGAAACAGTCTCTTTCCTTTATTAACACATATAATTATAGATATTTTCTATCAAAGCCCTTAAACTTTAGTGTGCATCACCTGAGATCTTGTTAGGAATGCAGATTCTTAGTGCTCCCCTTGCCCTTTGCCCCTTCCCCATTCTGATTTTGTAGATTTTGGGTGGGATTTGGAAATGTGTATTTAAATAATTCTCAAGTGGTTCTGATGGATTTTGTAGATCTTGGGTGGTTTGTGGACAACTTTTTAAAAAATACTGCTTTATATCCTCTGGTTATATTGCTTTATTTTTTAGTTTAAGGAGATATTTCCTATTGTGCATTTTAGTTTTTATTTGGTTGCTAACAACTGTTAGCTATCTGTAATGTGCTAATATTAAGCACTACAGAATCCTTATGTATAGTACCATCCCTACCTCTTAGGAGTTTGTATGAGAGGGCTGATCAGTATAGGCCTCTCTAGATTATTCATCTCATTACTTCATGAACATGTGGCGATTCTGAATATTAGATTAGTTTTCTTTTTTTGTTTCATTACTTCTAGACCTTCTTCTTAGGCTCATATCTAATCTGACATGATTTTTCTCTTTCCTATGTCCTACACTCTTGTCTTGGCCAATTGCTGGACGCCACATCAACCTAACCATAGTTCCACAGTGCAGGAAACATCTGTCTTGCCTTCTTTGGTTTGGTCGATTACATATTCATCGAGTATGCACTATCTGCCAGTCACAGTATTAGGCACAGAGTTATAGATGCGAACCTGGAAGTTCTCAAGTAGGATTTCTTATGCTTGCATTGTGAGTTTCTTTCATATTTTTGATAACAATATCTTAACTTTTTTTCTAAATTGAGTCAAACTTAAATATTTTCCCAAGCTATTCTCAAGTTAGAGGAGGAAGTTGGTATACATATTTGTAGATGCCTGGCCAGGTAAATTTATTTAAGTGGGAAAGTATTGCCTGATATTTGCTAATGAGGAAATAATATGGAGGCACTGAATTTTGTGAATATGAGAGATGAATAAGGTGTTATATATAAATAGTGATCCATAAAATACAAATGAACTCTTTAGGGAAAAATAAAGCCATTTGTTTTTCATTAAAAGCTTTTATTCAGAATCATTCTCTGTGATAGGCTACTCACTTATACCTGGTTGTTTTCCAAATGTGCCTCCTCCATAGTTCCAGACAGTTTCATGGAAAGAACTCCACATAGTATGCAGCTGTCTTCTTGACTTTTGCTCACTATTCTACTTCCAAAGGCATAAAACTTTAGAAAAATTATAAGTAGCACTCTATTAGGAAAAGTATGGGGACTTCTATATAATAAATGGCATCCTAGCAGGGAGGGGGAAAATAAAAAAATAAAATGTTAAAAAATAAATAAATAAATGGCATCCTAATACCCAACCATCACAATTTTTAATTTTTTTCCATTTTTTCAAAATGAATCGAATATATATATGTATATATTTGACTGTTAAACAATACTGGTTTGAACTGCGTGGATCCACTTATATGTGGATTTTTTTTCAATAAATATACAGTCAATGCTTTGTATCCCTGGGTTGCACATCTGTGGATGCAACCAACCCGGAATGGAAAACAGTATTTTCAATCTGCTCTTAGGAAGCTATGGATGCCAAGGGTCAACTGTATGCATTGTTCTATGCCATTTTATATAAGAGACTTGAGCATCCATGGGTTTTGGTATCTGCTGAGGGTCCTGGAACCAATCCCCCACAGACATCGAGGGACTATTGAAGATTTTG